GACACACACACACACACACACACACACACACACACACACACGCTCACATAAAATAGACTCCCTCTGGCTTTTCCCTCTTCTATTTCCAACTTTGAGACATACAGCAGAGCACTGTTCTCAAATGAGACTGGCCAATCTCTCTGTTCGATTTTGGAGAGTGGTAGGCAAAAGCCATGTTTCTGTATTCTACACATCTACCTAGCTTGTTTTTCAATGCACACAAGAAGCGGTACAGGTCAGACCAAGTGAAGACTACCAAGAGGCTTGGGAAAGTTTAGCCTTTGTCTTCTGCATCTTTCCTGGATGGGAGAAAAGAGACTAAAATCTAGAAGAACAGAGAGACCAAGGAAAGTTTTCACAATCATCATCCTTTAGGAGTATTTTTCTTATTTAAAAAATAATACTGCTTTTCTGGAGGAAAAAAAAAAAACAACAAACCATGGAATACTGTTCCCCCAGCCCAAATGGGAGAAAGGCACGTGTGCAACGGGGGAGATGGATGGGAACGTGAGGAAGACAAGGATGAACATGGGGACAGCAGGTGTGAACACGAGGGAGACAGATGTCAAATCGGGGAAGCCAGGGGGAGCACAGAAAGACAGGCATGGATATTGGGAAAACAGGTGTGAGGTGGAAGACGGTGAACAGTGGGGAGAGAGGCGTGAACACAGGGTAGGCAGGCTCACCCTTGTCACACGTAGTCAGGGGGGATGGGGCTTCCCTTTCGCTTCACAGAGCAAAGGGAAGGCTCTGAGGTATCGACAACCTGGGATATTGGGAAAAGGAGGGCAAAGAATCTGTTTCCTGAACGTCACGGTGAAGTCTTGCTGGTTGCTGTGGACTAGCCCGTCTCCTCCAACTCCAAGAGGTCATCCACGAATTCCACGACCTCTCCCTGGAAGAGGCAACAGAACAGCTCTGTTAGGGGGCTATCTGACTTTAAAAGTGCCAGTAGGCAGAGATGGGAGGCTACCGCTGACTTTTCCTTGGGCTGAAGCAGGTTTTCTCCACTGGCCTGAATGAAGCCCAAGGACCTGATTTCTCTGTCCCAGTGGAGGGCACCTCAGCTTCCACTACATGTGAAGCCTGGGTCAAGTGCTCTGCCGCCCCCAGAGATGGCCTGTGTGAAGTGGACAGTCCAGCCCACTCTGGAAGGCCCAACTTAATGGCCATCTCTCTCCCACAGGAATGCTATCAGCCCCCTTTCTGCCATGACCACCACACCACGTTTCCCAAGCCACAGCAGCCACCCTCGCTGCTCTCCGGCCAGCATTCCTTCCTTTGGGGACCAGGCCCCCGCAGCATCTCCATGACCCTATCAGGCTCTGCTTCCTGGGGATCCAAGCCAAGACACAGGCCTGTGCCTCACTTCCTGGATCATATAGCACTTCCACACACAACAGTGTTTTAGTCTCACAGCCCCGGGGGGGTCACAGCATTATTGCCATTTTATAGATTTTTTTAAAAAATGAGACTCAGTTCTTTCATGCCGGTGATGGGTCTATCTCATGCCAATCTGTACACAGAAAATTTCTCTGACAATGCCTTACTCAGAGGTGTTTCACCTCAAACCGGGACACAGTGGGAAGAGCAGGTCTTGGGGGCCTCTCAGTCTGGCCTAACAGATTGCAGAACTTTCTGTTCCCCAAGCTCCTCTTCCATATCACGAGGGGCAGAGCAGGACGGGCTCAAACATGCCCCTCCTCCTCCTCCTCCCTCTCTCTCTTCTCCCTCTCTCCCCTATACGTTTTGAGAATGTAGGGTCTCACTAAGTCCCTATGGCCCAGGAAGGACTGGAACTTGCCATCCTCCTACCTCAGTCTTCCAGAGTGCTGGGATTATAGGCATGAATACCTGGCTGAACAGAAATCTCTGCCAAGCTCTAATGGTGTTTTTTCTGTGGCTCACTTGTCTCTGGACAAAGTGACTACTCCATGATCAGTTAAACCTTATCAAAATGGGTTGGCTAAGAGAGGAGTAATCAAGAGATCACAAGGAATTCCAGACAATGATAAAATGCTTTCCGCAAGGATATAATTTACCGAAGAAGAAGAAAAAAATAATTATAGTCTGAGAGAAAATTTGGGATTGAGAGTTTCCAAATCACTTCAGAGTGCTGAGCAATTGAAACGTCACTGATTTTATAAAAAAGTTCAACCTGGTGGCTGAGTGACTGTGGCAGGCTCCTGCAGCGTTGTTCAGGCCACACCTTGCTGCCAGGAAACGTGGCACTCAGGCCCAGGGTTCCTAGAAAACTGTGTGTTTCCACACCAGGTTCTGGCTTTCATAAAACGCCCACAACAACTGTCTTCTCAGGGTCTGTCTTCTCCCTTCTGTCACTTACTTCTGAGACAACTCAGCCTTCCAGTGATTTCAGCTAAGACATGAGTAATACTTTCTCTTTCATGTGCTAAGCATGAAAACTTACCTCATCATCATCCATTATATTTTCCTTAGCAAAGTCATATAGCTCTTTCTGGAGTGTAGTCACGTTAAAGAACTGAACTGCTTCCTGTTATGACAGAAACAGAGTACAGGATTTCTTTCTGGAATGTGAAAACTTGGATTTTTTTTTTTTTTTTTGAGACAGGGTCTCACTATGTAGTTGAGACTGACCTGGAACTCACTGTGTAGCCCAGGCTGGTCTCAAACTCACAGCAATCCTCCTGCCTCAGCCTCCTGAGTGCTGGGAGTACAGACGTGTGCCACCACACCCAGAGTGAAAACTTAGATTTAAAATTAGACAATGGTACTGGCTGCACAACTCTGAATATACTAACAACCACTGAACTGGGCACTTTAAGAGGGTGCAGTCTATGGTATACAGATTATACTACAACAACAACAACAAAAAGAAGAGTTTGTATACACATGTGCATATATGTGTTGGCAGGGGAGGTGTGAAGAAAGATGTACATAGGCCAACCAAGAGAGCATATAGGAATCCCGCTAGAAAGATAAAGACCATTTGAAAAGAAAAGAGCTTTTGCAAGTGACATTAATGGAGTTCCCTGACAACATGCTAATCTTTGAGTTTGTCCACCATGGGAATTAAATGACGATCCACCCACACAAGAGACCACCATGGTCCTACTGAAAAATAACTAAAATAGAGTATGTCTATGGACATGACCTGGAAAAATATTCATGGTGAATTGCTAGAAAGAGAAACAAGTTGCAAAACAGTATGTAAAGTATGATCCTGTTCTTGTAAAAATAAACAAATACAGTCTGTATATATGAGTAAGCACATAGCTCTAAAAAGAGATAAAGGGGATCAAGAGAAAGCATGGGATTGTTAGAGAATTACACGTTCTAAGTAAAATATTTCTGTAATGTTTAATATTTGTAAAGTATTTCTGGATTCAGAAATCAGCATAAAGCAGCAAAATATTATGACAAACAAACAAAACACTGCAGAAGCCAGTGAGGTTTCTCTGAGAAGGAGGAAGCAAAGGCGGCAAGACAAGGTCTGGGACTCACTGGTCTGGGCTGGAAATGTTCGTCTGAGAGGCCCCACTTGTCCCTGTGGTACTGGTAGTACACAAGGTTCTGCTTCATGACCTTGTCATTCTGGTCAAAGAGCAGGTAGCTGACTGCACAGGGGGCTGCATTCTTCAGGTCACTCACTGGGTGCAGGAGAGAAGAGGACACAGAGATCAGCAAGCCATATCTACCATACCCTGGCGTCCCTCCCAGCCGTCAGCCTTCCTGAAAGCCCAGCTTCCTAGAGGAAAAGATCAATGAACAAGCCTCCAGAAAACCTGCAACTGCCTGCTCACAGGCTGAGTCTCCATGGTCATCTGGAAGCCAGCTTTGAAGCATGGAAGTTTCTTCTTGGGCAGATGCTTTGGCAGACATGTCCCTGGACCACCTCAGGATTTGGTGTCCTGACCTGGTCTCAGGCTCCTGGTACCAGCTGGAGAAGGTGGGTCCTAAGGTCTGGACTTTCCTGAGGCTGAGGGAAATAGGATATACTCAAACAAGCCCCTCAACTGAGATCTGTGCTTCCTGGATCCTCTCTGGATAGGACCATTATCTCTAGACACAGGCGGAGCCTTCTTCAACTAAACCAAACTTGGAAGATGGAAAGGTTGGGGACTCCCAGGCTGGAAGAGATCTGAAGTCACTGGTCCTGCCATCTCCTGGAGACTGGGGTTCCCAACTCCAGCCTCCTACTTAATATTGCCCCTTCCATACCACCTTCAGCATAGGGATTTTAGAGGGGTTGGGATTTGTCTTGGGGGTGAGTGGAGTGGGGCAAAGGGGAAGAAAGGCTGAGACATAAGCCCATGGGTATTTACTCTCACACATTCTACTCCAATTTACAACTTAAAACTGAAGAATACCATTTCTGCCAACGTTGTTCGGCAGGAGTAACCAGAGGTTGGACATGAATAAATTGTGCCACCCCGCGGCTACTTCCTGTAATGACAACTTTAAAACTCCTCAGCGGGCCACTTCTCAATTCACGAGGTCTGCGTGGCTGCTAAAGGGCTCAAACATAAATTCTAGTATCAGCTCAAGAAATTTAGAGTGCTAGGAAGTCTAAATAAAGAGTTGAAAGCAGGGAAGATTTACAGGAGAGTACTTTCAGGAAGTAAATTTTGTCACACCATTTAGTTACAACTCCAGAAAGCAGAGCTTTTCTAGGGAGGAGGATGCAATGTTAGGAGGCATTGGCCTCCAGTGTATACAGTCTTGGCCACTTCCTGATACACAAGACAATGCCCTAAGCACGTGAGCACTCTGCAGCACCAGGAAGCTGCTGGAGCCCCAGTGAGTCTACAACAGTAAACTCAATATGCTAACTCAGAGCCTAGCCATGCTCAGATGCATGCAGACCACACAGACTAGTAGATAAAGTACAAATATAATATATATATTTAATTTTTTTCCCTTTTCCTTTTCCATTTTTTTCTTTGTTCATCCTTTACAAGGTAAGGCTTTCAGTGGAAAGGGAAGGTGGCTGTTGTGGGAAAAGGGAACCCAACAAAGAACAAAATAACCACAGAGTGAAAAGAAGGCTACAGAAGCCAAGGCCACCTCTCGCTCTTCCCAGGCATCCCTGAGGCCAGTGGATCCTGAGTCTGAAGGGGGAACCCGGGGCAGGTATCCTAGGCAGAGGCTGCCACCCCTGCTTCTTCACTAGGACAGAATAGCTCCTGCTGCACCTGCCCACAAGAGTCCTCCTGTGCTCACAAGCACATAGCCGAAGCGGACACAAACAAGCAGCATTGGCACAGTCGGGGACAGGGAAGGAGGCAAAGTGTAAACAGACAGGACCTGCGGTCTGACTCCTCACTACTCCATTTGCTGCCTTCGGTTCCCCTATGAGGTATATCATGGAAATACATGATGAATGTATTAACTTAAACATTATTACGGGGCCAGGGACCTAGTTCAGTGGTTCTACCGCCTGCCTTGCAGTTTGATCCTCACTGCCCTTTTACAGTACTACAGTAAAAGATACAATGCCATTAATTCTCCTCAAAATACTCCCCTTCGCTTCAAACACACTCAGCCCATCGTTCCCGCCACTTTCTGAAGCAGTTCTTAAAGTCCTGTTTCATGAGCATCTTTTCATGGCTGCCTTGATGTCTTGAAACAATTCAAAATATTTACAGCAATCGTATAAAAATATCACGGTGTGTCCACCAGATCTTTTTCTTGTTTTGTTTTTTGTTCTTTTTTTTGGTACTTGGGATGGAACTAGGGTCCTTGCACTTGCACGGCAGGCGCTGGAACCACTGAGCTAGATCCCCGGCCCTATCAGATCTTTTTCACCAGATCTGGCACCGTATGACTTCTGCCTCTTCTCCAAAGTCAAAATGACTACAGGAGGGAAACATTTCAATAGTAAAACTAAAGACATTCCCAAAATAAGACTTCCAGAACTGCTTCAATCAGTGGCAAGAACAACAGGATACGTATGTTTTGAGGGAAGATTAATAGCACTCTTTTCCTAAAGCCATTTTTAGTTTAAATATTCACCATGCTTTCGATCACACCTCATAGAATGTTCTCATTGAACATGCACAGCACAGCACCAGGGCTGTCAAGGTGATCTTGAAATGTCAGCAACCATACGTGAGAAGCAGGACCTTTGGTACCCAGGGGGAAGCTGTTTTAGAAAGATGAAATACCTTGCCCAAGATTCTGTAGATGATTACTTACACTTATAATATGCAAATTGCAAATAATGATACATGGTAGCCACAAATTTCTCCACAGGGTAGCCTCCTATAACCGGGGTGAGGTCCTCTTCACACTGTATTTTGCACTCCAAGACTTCTATATAATGATCTGAAAACACACACACGAATTTTCAGAGCAGTGCACCCATTACTTTTCGTTTTTGCAGGGCTGAGGATTGAATTCAGGCCTTACCCATGCTCTTCCCCTGAGCTACATCCCCAGTCTCATTGCTTTTTAATATAGTTACTTTTAGGCCGGGGATTTAGCTCAGTGGTGCCGCCACCTGCCTCGCAAGTGCAAGGTTCCGAGTTTGATCCCCAGTACCAGAAAATTATACAGCTACTTTTTCCTTCCACGCAAATGATGAAAGTAAAAGAAAAATATTCACAACATTTACAATAAGAGGCTAAAATCTTTATGATGCAAAGTTCCTTAAGATCAAGAAAATGTCAAACACTCACTATAAAAATGGCCAAAAGTTGTTAACAGAAAGTATAAAAATGGTGAACAACCACTGTGAAGAGATGCTATACCCCCCTTGTAATTAAGAAATACAATCATGGGGCCAGGAATTTAGCTCAGTGGCACCACACCTGCCTTGAAAGCACAAGGTCTTGAGTTCAATCCCTGGTACAAAAAAAAAAGAAAGAGGGCTAGGGATTAAGCTCAGCAATTTCATCGTTGCCTGGCTCGCAAGCACAAGGACCCGAGTTTGATCCTCAGTACCAAAAAAAAAAGAAAGAAAGACAGAAAGACAGTCAAATCCAAGTGTGTAGTGCACATTGCAATCCTAGCACTTTGGGAGGCAGAGGCAGGACAGTCTTAAAAAAAAAAGCTAGGGATGTAGCTCAGTGTGAAGGCCCTGAGTTCAATATCCAGTACCTAAAAAAGATGAAACTTATCCATATTCTGTTAGAGAACAATTTGACAGTATTTATAAAAGATTAAAATATATATGTCTTCCAACCTATGAGTCTACAACTAAGAAATTGTCTTTAGATGTAGGCACACATAAGCATTGTTTTAACAGCAAACATGGAAGAAACTAAATGCCAGTCAATAAATTATGGTACATACAAACAACAGAAACTATAGAGCATTTGGAAAATAAGGGGAATCTAAATATAACAACATGAGAGATGTCAAAGACTACATTCTCCACACTGGCTATGGTGGTGCATGCTATAAACCCAGCTCTGGGGAAGCTAAGGCAGGAGAATTGCCCAGAGTTTGAAGTAAGCCTGGGCTACATAATGAGTTCAAGACCAGCCTGAACTGCACAGCAAGACTCTCTGTCTCAAAAAACAAACTACATTTCCCAGCAGTTGGATTGGGGCCATATGCTTGGTTGCGGCCAATGAAATGTAGATGTAACCACTAATGAAGCTACTTCCACTCCTGGTATTGCACAGAACCTCCCATTGTGACCTTTGAACACCTCTCCTTTATCCCTTCATACAACTAAAAGCAAAAACTAGAATGTTCACACAGATTTTGTTGGCAAGACTATGGAGAAAAAGTCACTCTGATACATTGCAAACAAATGCAAAATGGTACCTTAAAATACTACATGGTTAACAGAAACATTTCCTGTTTGAACTATTAACTCACTTTGGTAGATTTTGAAAACACAGTTCCATACTTAGGGGAAAAAAAAAAAAAGCTTATCCACTGCAGCATTTCACATAGTAGCAAAAGACTGGATCAACCCAAATGTCTACCAGACGGTTGAATAAACTACAGCAACCCCCCTCCAACCTGCAGTGGAGTACTGAGCAGCAAAAATGAAACAGTGACACAATCTCTATGTGCTACTTTGGATATATTAAGCGGGAAAGCAAAGAACAGAGTAAAAGGTATATATTATGACTCGGGTCTAGATGTCCCCCCAAAGCCTTATGTGGTCAGCCATAGATGGGTGAATCTAGAGTGTGTTTTGCCGGCTGGGGTTAAGGGAGTGTGATTACTGAATCACTACACAATTGGTATGGCGACGCCCTAATCCCAGGAGTCTGAATACAATAAAAGGGACAGAAAGATGCCTTTAAGGTCTCTTGTTACTTTTGCTGTTTTCTGCCGCCATGAACTGTTTCTCCTCTGTGAGGCCCCTCTACCATCCTTGCCTTGGAACCAGCTGATGACGGACTGGAACCTCCATGAACTGTAAGACAAATAAACCTCTTCCCCTCTAACTTTGGGTGTCGGGTATTTTGTCTCAGCAACAGGAGAAAAGTAACTCACACAATGTAGTGCCTGTTTGTACAAAAGAACTATATAAAAATATAGGAATAAATAAAGAAATACACAATCTTTATAGAAAAAAGTGATGCAGACAAGAACTCTGAATAGGTGTGACATCAGCAAGGAATGAGAGGAAAGGGCAGAGTTTGATGAACAGCAAGTTATTATGGTCTTGTGATTACAAACAAATTCAAAAGAGAAAATGCTGACTATATGGTGGAGAAACTACAAACACCTTAACCAAATGCTTCAACACTGACATTACCAGTAAGCGGGTAAGCAGACAGGATATGGACGGAACACCCCAAGGGACACATCTGTGGGATTCCAGCCAGAAAGGCACAACCTGAGTGCAACTGTGAGATTACAGGGTGGAAATCCAAATTGAAGACTATTTACAAATTACGGACCTAAATGTTTTAAAACTATCACTGGCATAAAAAGACAAAGACAGGCCAAAGAACTGTTCCAGATTAAAGAATAGTCAAGCAGCACAACTACATGGCAAACACAATTCTGTACCGGACACTGCACCCAGGAAGAAAATATGGCAGAAAAGACATTATTGAGACAACCAACAAAATTAAAATACAGATGTAGAGTGCATCAAAGTATTGTATCTAAAGCTCCTGAATTTAATTACTGTGGATATGCAGGCAGTATTATTGTTCTTGGAAAATATGCTGAAACATTATGGGGTAGAATGTCATCATATCTCCATCCACTTCCAAATGGTTCTAAAATAAAAATAATTATACACACAAAATATGGAGAAAGTAATAAAGTACACGTGGTATACTCAATGTTATAATTTGATAAATCTGGGTGAAGATGTGAGAATTCTTAGTACTATTCTAGCAATATCTCTACAGACTTGAAATTATTTAAAAATGAAACCCAGGTCTGGAAATCCCCCTTGTCCTTGAGGACTATATGCCAGAGACTCCTTGCTGTGAAACTACAGATGGTACAAAACTTTATTTTATATATATAATATATTTTTTTTTCTATTCATATAAGTTAGGTATGGTAAGAGATTAACAGGGCCAGGGATTTAGCTCATTGGTTCCGCAAGCACAAGGACCCAAGTTCGATCCCCAGTACCAAAAAAAAAAGAGAGAGAGATTAACAAGAACTTATAGGAAAACAGAATAATTGTAACAATATACTGTAATAAAAGTTATGGGAATGTGGTCTCTCTTTCTCTCTAAGCACCTTCTTGTAGTGAACTCAGCCTTCCTATGATGATATGAGATGATAACAAGTCTGTATGATGACTCAGGTAAGTGACAGAGCCGCGTGACACGGCACTAAACTAGTACTGTGTCACTGGAATATAAGCACTGTGATGTGACAGTCAATCTGACAACAAACACGCCTCCTAGTGACTAAAGGGCAGATAGCATATACCGTGTGGACACACTGAGCAACGGGGTAATTCATGTCCTGCGTGGAACAGAGCAGGGTGGCAAGAGATTTCACCACATTACTCAAAACTTATGAATTATGAAATTATGAAAACATTACTCAAAAGTTATGAAGTGTTCATCTCTGGAATTTTCCACGTAGTATTTCCCAGCTGTGGTTGACTGGAGGTTACAAAACCATAAGTAAGGAAGCTACACACTGTATATCAAAGGTAGGTAAGAAAGAGCTGGGCATAGTGGCTCAGTCCTATAACCCCAGAGTTCTGGGAGGCTAAGGCAGGAGGATGCCAACTATAAGCCTAGCCTGGGGAATTGTGGGTATGGAGCTCAGTGCAAAGGTCCTGGGTTCAACCCCCAGTACTGAAAACAAACAAACATAAATAAATGAAATTCAAACCTGATCCCTGTCAGGTCTTACTCAAGACAAGTCCCAAGTTGCAAGAAATACAGAGGATAGAAGAACATGGAGACACAATCAAGAAAATCTAAAATGTGGAAATCTCGGTGAGACAAATAATCCAGTTCCTTCAGCAGTAAGGGAGGAAAAAAAGATGGAAAAATAACCCACAGATTTAAAAATACTTAAAAGATAACCACTTTGCTACAACAGGATGAACCTTGAAGACCTCATACTAAGCAAAATAACTTACTCTAAAAAAATAAAGAAGAAAAAAAGAGCTGGGGACATAGCTCAGGGCAAAGCCCTGGGTTTAATCCCCAGTACTAAAAAAAAAAAAAAAATTATCAAAATGTTACTTTAGTGACAAGTACCTAAAGATTCATTCTAGTCTTCCTTCTACCTTTCTGTGTGCTGCAAAATCGCGACTGCCATAATCCCTGTTATCTCAGTCATGTGAATCACTGGGTCACCTTTGGCCCTACACAAACCTTGAGGGAATCCGTAATGGAGCGGGGCTGATACAGTAGACTCCTGGCAGGGCTGGGCTTGAACTTTCTATCAGCTCTTTCACCAGAGGCGTTGGCCAGGTCACAGTTTTATCTAGCAGGTGTCCTCTACCCAAGTTCTTCATTAATATTTAAACCCAGGAGTTTCTCAAAGACCCAGTGAGGCCTGCAGAGGCCTGTCCACCGAGAGCAGCCCTCTGAGGAAGAAAGACTCCATGGGCAGTGACCCTCTTCCCCTGTGACCAAGCCGCCCACCTGCTATGGAAAGGTAGAAATCCTTGAAGTCCTTGATCTCCCTGGATCCCTCGCAGGCCGAGAGGCACTCGTAAAAGGTCTTGAAGAAGTCGGGGAGGGCCAGCTCCATGTCCGTGATGGCAGTTCTCCAGTTCTCACCATTGTAGGCCCGCACTCCTCGGATGAACAGGCTCTGAAAAGCAAGAAGAAGCTGTGAAGCTTGTTCCAGCCTGGAGGGAGGCAGGCAAGTCCCTCCAGAGGAACTGAACTCTGCTTTCATTAGCCCTGAAAAAGCCACCCTGACCCTTTGTTAAACATGCAGCCCATCTGTAAATGTGGTCTTTTCTTTCCAGATACTGGAGATTGAATCCAGGGCCTTCACACTGAAAAACCACGCCTCCAGCCCTTTTCTTATTTTTAACTTTGAGAAAGGGTCTCACTAAGTTGCTAACTTGCCCAGGCTGGACTCAAACTGGCCATCCTCCTGCCTCAGCCTCCCAGGGTGCTGGGATCACACTGCCCCCATGCCTAGTTTGTAATTTGCTTGTTTGGGTGCTTGCTTGCTTGCTTGCTTGCTTCCTTCCTTCCTTCCTTCCTTCTTTCCATCCTTTCTTTTTTGAGACAGGGTTTCACCATGTTGCTTAGGTTGACCTTGAACTCACTGTGTAGTCCAGGTTGGAGTCAAATTCATAGCGATCCTCCCGCCTCAGCCTCCAGAATGCTGGGAGCACAGGTGTGTATGAGCTACCACAACCAGACTGTAATTTATTTTACATCTACATTTTTCTGCTGTTTACAATGGGTGAGGTATATTTCTCATTTAATTTAATTCAAAAAGTAGCATGATGCTGGGCGTGGTGGCACACGCCTATAATCCCAGCACTCGGGAGGCTGAGGTAGGAGGATTGCTGTGAGTTCGAGACCAGCCTGGGCTACACAGTGAGTTCCAGGTCAGTCTCAACTACAAAGTGAGACCCTATCTCAAAAAACAAACAAACAAAAAAACAAAAGGTAGCATGTGCTTGATAACAAAATCAAATTCAAATCAAGAAAAAAGGAACAAAACTCAGATCAGCAGATGCCTGGAGTCAGGCCCTGGAGTAAAAGCTTGACTGCCAAAGACAGGATAGAACACGGTAGGGGTGATGCAAATTCCACACCACGTTCATGGCGACAGTCACAGCTGCAGATAGTTGTCCCAGTGCATTGTCTGTTCCACTTAAGATTGGAAAGTATGCTGCAGATATAGTCACCTCAATAAGGCTGATTTTTAAAAACCGAATTCTGGAAAAGACACAAGTTTGACAGCAGGTGCCTGATAGCCTGCTCCCACCAACCATGAAGTACAAAACAGGAGAGGCTTGCTCCAGCTAGTTACTGTGCCGGTGACCGGCACGAGGTGGCAGGAACTGCACAGACTTTCCGTTCACTGTCAACATACGGGACAGTAACCGGGACTGAAGAAGCAGTGCAGTCTCCGCGACAGAAGTAGCTCCTGGGTACACACAAAAGCCTGCTAGGGACTCACCATTCAGAGTCCCTTTCAGCTTCTCCAGGGTGGAGATATCTGAGGGTCACCTCTTGGATCTGGTCTTCTTCTTCTTCTTCTTTACAGTACAGGTAATTGAATCAGGACCTTGCATTGAGTATATACCCAACACCTTTTTTTTTTTTTTTTTTGAGTCAAGGACTCACAGAGTTGCCCTTGCTGGCCTCAAACTTTTAATCTTCCTGCTACAGTCTCCTAAGCAGCTAGGATTACAGGAATTCACTGCCATACCCAGTGAACCTGGACTTTTCACCAAACTTCAGACCTCAAGCAGAGAGGGTGAACCTCTTTCAGCTTTCTAAGCAGGCAGTGGTCCCTGTCAGTAAGACAGGCAGAAACCCAAAGGTGTCTTTCCCATAGAATGAATAAATGAGCAGCTACTCTGGGCCGCTGGCCTTGCAGAAGCAGGATGGTAGCAGGCATAGCAGAAGGAAGCCAAACAGAGTCAGACAGCCAGAGTGCAAAGGAGGGCAGCCCAGCCACACCCAGCAGGGCTCCCAGAGGGAGCAAAGGGACCAGCTGACTTCCAGGTAAACACAGTGCTCTCTGCTCCCCAAGCCCAGGGCACGCAGCAGTGAAGAAAAGAAAAGGGCACATGTCCTTTTTATGAGGACACCAAAGGAACAGGCAGCATACAAGAGACATAACAACTTCTGGAAAGACACAAACATCAGAGGAGAGTCCTGAGGGGAAGGGAGCTACATGTCCGGCAGGCACAGAGGACCACGGGAGATGGGGGACACAGAACTGAAGGCAGAGCCGAAAGTCTGAAGAGGGCCGTGGGAGTTGAGGTTCCTCCCCGCACTACCTGCCCATCCAAGAGATCACAGATCTCAAAGCCGCTCTTCACCAGAGCCTGGCAGCTTCTCCCAGAGAGATATTCCACCCAGACACTGCAGACAGGCACAGGAGGCTGAGAAGGACGCCTCAGGCTGAAAGCCAGGAAACAGGGAAGTCCTCACACTCAGCGTGGGTGGCCCACTGCTCCTCTCCCCAGGCCAGCTCTCAGATACCAGCACACAAGCACAGACACCCCGCCAGCCCTGGAGAAGGATGGACAAGTCTTCCCTGGAAACCTTAAAGGCTCCCAGAAAAGAGGGTCCTCGCCAGTGAAAACCTGATCTTGAAGTCTGGTCATACTACCAGAAACCCTGTGATCAGGCCTTGGGAACTACAGTTCCTCACGGAAACTTTCACGCCATGCCCTTGTTTTCAGCCTTGCCCTAACCTTCCGTGGTGCCCAGGTGCCCCGATGTCTGAGTTTGATGGACCCTGACCACTGCCAGGGCTCAAAAGAGTTAGATGCTTATTCTTCAGAATTCTCATCAGAATTCCCCTTTGTAGATTCACTGACTTAAGTATCCTCTATTCTGTTAACTCTTTACTAAGTTGTGTATGCAAAATAGGTCTCTCAGTTTCATTTAAAATGGAGACTTATGATTAAAGGCAATAATGCATCTACTTATTTTAGAAACTTTATTGGAATATGTATTTGGCATGTAAAAATATAGTTTGCCAGCCATCTCCTAAGTTAGAGTATAAATATTGTCATATAACTTTCTTTGGTCAGAAACATTTGAACTAAGTAGTGCCACTTGGGTCAGGATTTTCTTCCGTGCCATTTATTTAACAAACTGAGCTGTCTTTAGGCTATGTAATTAGCAAAAATTTGTAACTAGGAATTTTTTTTTTTTTTTTGTACCAGGGATCCGACTCAGGATCTTGTGCTTGCGAGGCAGGCACCGGAATCACTGAGCTAAATCCCCAGCCCAAAAATGTGTATATTACAATGGAACAGTTTTCACACTTAAATTCTCAGGAGGTGTTCTTCTGGAGCCCCATCTAGCAAAATTAGAGCGGAAAGTCTTGAGGAGAGTTAAGAGAAAAAGCCAACACTTTCAGACCTAAATAGTTGAATCTTCTACAGATAAATAACATCTGCTATCTCAACTCTCCAAAGTTTACTGCGTTGATACTGTCCATCCATTTTGGGGAAATGAATAAAATTGGGCAGCTAAATTTCGGTTTCATGTGCCTCCTATCTAGACAGAAAATAAGCAGTTATTGTAAATTGACTTGCAGGAAAAGTAGGAACTGCCCTGCATACTATTTTTGGGAAGAGAGGACATTTTCCAGCCATACACATGATACCCAGTTTTCTATTAGTCACACCATTGTATAAAGCAGAAAAACTGAAAAGGAGAGATGATTGTTGTAAACAATGAGTTGCTTTGCATAGTCTCCTTTGAGATGATTGGTGCAAGAATTTTGATTTTTTTTTATATTTGGAAACAAATGAAAACGGAAACATGAAAAAAATGGAGACGTTTTTCTATCCTGTGTTCCTTGCCATTTTTGCATGATTTCTAAGGTATGTCTTTATTTTCTGAAAACTAAACAAATAACTATATGTGCAAAATGAAGAATTTAAGGGAGAGGTAGCTTTAAAATCTCCATGGAAGGTAAAAACTCACCTTACAGATCCATTTTGTGCTAAAAAGCCAATTTTTCTAATGTCATAATGTTCCTCAAATGTCACCCCAAAAAATCACTAGAGGTCTTCGATGTCAATAGCTGTTCACTGATACATTTCTTTAACAAAAACCACATTGCACTGACCACCGTGTGAAAGTCTGAATCTGCTGGATAGGATGGCATACGCCTATAATCGCAGGAGGCTGAAGCAGAAGGATCACTGATAATGTGAGGTCAGCCTGGAATATATAGAGAGACCCTGGTCAAATAGACATAGTCTGAATCTACCTCATATGACTTGGTTTCCAAGTCTTTAATGTAGTCCTCGGCCCCAGGCAAGCTCTTATAATACTCCATGTTCCTCTTCATCATTTCATCATCAGGATGCTTCAGTAGGAAGGTGTGAGCTGCTGCAATAGCCTTCGGGAGATTATTTGCCTGAGTACAAAGAAGAAAGATAACTTCCACTCAATGGATGCTGCACAGTGAGTTTTGCAAAACAAGGTCCTTTCGGTAACTTGTTGACAACAAGCCCTTGCATAATTTTGTGTTCCTAAGCAATGTTTCCGGTTTAGGGTTCCGTGACTTCCGGTGTCCACCAAGACTTGGTTCGCCCCCACAGCATGAGCGTCTTGCTGCGCCTTTCCCCATCTCCACTCTGCCTGTGTCCCGGGAGGCCGAGTGCTTTTACGACAGACTCCTCCCCTCCAGCTCCAGAGGGGCTCAGTGCTGAGGGCCCAGAGAAGACTGGAGAAAGGGAGGACAGTAGTTTGGGCTTTTTCATCTCCTGGTTCCCTCCCTCCCTGCGCTCACGCTGGGCTGTGACTTAACGAAGGCCTCGCTTCTCTCCGGGAGCCCTCTCCACAGACTGTCTCCTTTCAGGTTCTAGTGGCTGCTGTTTCCTTTGCCCCTTCTGGCCAAGGGGTGGTGGTAATATGGTTAATGGGCACTTGCTAATGCTGACTGGATCATACGGGTTCTAATTTCATTAGTGGATTAATCCATTATCAGTGGGTTTTGTAAAATTCGTGACATTTTTGGGAGTCGATGGAACCTAGGAAATAGGATGAATAGAAGAGAGTGGGGTCATGGGGCATCATCTTGGGGACTATTACCTTGATCCAGAGCCCTGCAACTCTGGCTCTAGTTTGCTCTCTCTCTCTCTCCTCGCTCTCTCGCTCTCTCTCTCGCTCGTGCCCGCCCCCCATAGCTTTCCTCCATTCTGCTCTTTCTCTATGATGTTTTTGTGTAACCACATGTTAAAAGTGATAGAACCAGGGCTAGGGATTTAGCTCAGTGGTTCCGCCACCTGCCTTGCAAGCACAAGGGCCAGAGTTTGATCCCCTGTACGAAAAAGAAAAATAAAGTGATAGAACCAGCTGACCATGGACTGAAGCCTCTGAAATCATGAACCAAAATAAACCTTTCCTCCCTTAAATTTTTCATATTGGGTGTTTTGACACAGCCATGAAAAGCTGACTGAAACAGGTGGTCATACTCCACCGGTACTAGACCTGGTGGACTACACAGTCTCTCCTGGGTTCCCCACACACCATGCACCCTTGTAAATAACTGCCTTGGTAACCTTCCTTCAGATTACTCAGGGTTACTGCACTATGTCTTTTCCACTGGAAACAACACAAATGTATTATTTTTTCCCCAAACTTCTCACAGAACCTTCTGCCTCCATTTTCGGGGACACTTACCACCTCCTCAGTCACTCATCTGTTCACTTGGGAAATACTTGTGAGAGGCTTTTATGCAGGCACTGCTTCTAGGAAGTGGGTTGGTATCAATAAACAAAATAGGAAAAAGATTCCCACCTTCATAAGACATCTATGCTTAAATTCTTTTGCCTAATAGCCTCAGTTAAGAGCCTCTCTTGCTGGGTGAAATAGCGCACACCTGTTAACTCAGCTACTGGGAGGCTGAGGCGGAAAGATTGCAAGCTCAAGGCCTACCAGGGCAACTTAGCAAGACTCTCACTCAAAATAAAATAAAAAAGGCCTGGGATGTAGCACAGTGTAGAGCACTTGTGTGAAGCCCTTAAGAGCCTCTTTCTGTCATCCCTGCACCGACTTCTCACTTTTTACACCTCCCTGTAATCTCAGCTAATGCGTTTCTCCCCCACCAGATTGATCCTTGTAGAACCCAGCTGTGCGTCCCTGCATCCCAGGTGTCCGGCACAGTTCCTGGGACAAGGCAGGGCGCAGTAAGTACCTGTGATCTGAACATAATGACATTACGACCACATAACATTTTTATAAAATTGATTCATATTCTCCCTCTTTTTGCTTCCACTTCTGCTCCCTGAAGCAGTGACCAGCTGACTATGAGTTTCTCTGCCCCAGGAGGAGTCGGTGAGTGGTAGAGTGAAAAGGTACCCACGTGGCAGAAGCCCTGTGCTCTTGGGAGAACTTAGCAGGTTTGAGCGGAGAGGACGTGGGCTGGGGTCAGGAGTGGCCAAAAGGTGACTATCAGAGAGCAGAGAAAAAGTTTTCCCTCAGGTCTGCAGGAGCAGCAGCGGCTGGAGCCCCGGAAATTTAGGGCTAGAGCCCTGGCTGCAGCTCCAAGAAGGCTGAAGTCTTGGGGAGGACTGGTGTGTGGGGGCGTAGACGCCTCCCTTTGGGGACGTGAGGAGGACCTCACCGACCTGGACTGAATCACGGGCGTCTCTGGTGGAGGAGCGTGGTCACTGCAGCCAGTGCCGCGGAAGTGGGACGCAGGGCCTGGTTCACTGGTCTGGAGAAAGACACTCCGATTCCTGAGAATCATAGGGCCACACGTATTTGTACCCTACTGCCTCCAAACTGAGGCTGCCCTGTGGGAGGAGAGGTGGGTGGAGACGAGGGCAGTCTCCCAGACGTCAAAGCTGAAGGCTAAGGAAGCTTCCAAGAGGCCTGGCAGGTAGGAGACAGGCAGGGGCCCCGAATACAGGCTTTTTAAAGCATTTGCCAAAGAAATTAGTCTCCTTTTTGGAAGAGTATTTAGACAGAGAATACAGCGATGGTGGGGGTGGTGGGATATTATCTATTTATTTGTTTGCTTATTGCGGGTTGCAGTACTGAGAAGTGAACCTGGAGCCTTCCCACTGAGTTACATCTCCACAACCCTTTTTGGTTTTTTGTTTTTTGGGGGGTTTTTTAGACACGGTCTTGTCAACTCTCTGAATTGCCCAGGCTGGGCTTGAACTTGCAATCCTCCTGCCTCAGCCTCCCAGAGTTCTGGCATTACAGGCGTGTCCCATCACCCCCAGCTCTGAGTAGTCTTTTTAAGGCCTCTAGTTTAGGGTCTGAGTTTTGCAAAATGTACCTCCTTCCCAAAATAGAAAAGGGTAATTCTTGGGTCGAGGATGTAACTCCTTGGTAGAGCACTTGCCTAGAGTGCCTGAGGCACTGGGTTCAATCCCAGCACTGAAAAATAGGTAAATAAATAACAGTGGAAGCCCAGCATAGTGGCTGCCCCCATAACCCCAGCTACTTGGGAGGCAGAGGCAGGAAGATTGTAAGCTCAAGACTGATCTGGGCAACTCAGTTTCAAAATAAAATAATAAATAGCTGGGTATATACTTAAGTATACCCTGCGTTCAACTCCCCAATACAGGAAAAAAGGAGGGAGCTTTATTTCCTTCACCCCAGCTCTCCAGCTGGAACAGCACCTCTGACAGCAAGAGCACCCACCACCCTACCACGGGCTCTGAGAGCCACCGCATGAGAAGATCCCACCTATGAATGGCACAGCAGGCGGGCCAGCTCCCTCTGGCTCAAAGCGCAACAAGCTCTCCAGACTTGATCAAGTGTGGGCCCCGTTTCTGACTTTGCCTGCAGGGTAGCACACTGGGCATCACCAAAATGAAGACCTTGAACCAGAACTACACCACAACAGTGACCCACAGCACCACAGCAGGCAGCACGTAGTCCGGCCTTCAGATGCCAGGAAGAACAGGCATGCCTGATGCCATTTTATCCCTACCCATGTACAGAGTTTGAGAATGTAAACATCATTGAGAAATAAAACCATACTTTATCTCCACTAAAAGTCACTTTTTCAGTGACATCTTCAGTTGAAACAAATTGAGTGAACATTCACGTTTATTAATAAAATTCCTAACTTTCCCTGTCCCATTAGAGATCTCAAAATACAGCCTTGGTGTGGTAGTGCACACCTGTAATTCCAGCGCTCTGGAAGGCTGAGGCAGCAGGATCACAAGTTTGAGTCCAGCCTGGGAAACTTGGTGACTTGACAAGAGCGGTCTTAAAATAAAAAGTGAAAAGATTAACAATAACAAAAAAGGACTGGAGAGATGGGTCAATGTGCTTGCTCAATGCCCAGTAATGCAAAGAAAAAGAACAAAACAAAACTCAAGATACTAAAACAGGTGGTGTTCTACTCACTTGAGTATTTTAAATCTTGTAAAGGGTTTTGTAGATATATTACAAGTATCCTAATCTCTTGAAAGCCAATGCCTTAAGGTCTCATGAAGTTAAGGTCTCATGAAGTCTTTCCAATACCATTTCTTCAAATTCATCTGTGTAGTAAAGAAATCAGAGAGCTGGACATGGTGGTGTACACCTGTAATCCCAGCACTTGGGAGGCTGAGGCAGGAGGATTACCATGAGTTGGAGGCCACCCTGGGCTATACAGTGAGTTCACAGACAGCCACAACCACATAGTGAGAGACTGTCTCAAAACAAAACAAAACACCAAGAAAACAGAGCTTCTAGCATTCTCCACATTTAAAAATAAAATGTGCCTGCCTTGCTTTTGTGACTTAACTTGGTCCAGAGAGTATCTGCCAAAAGTTATTTAAAAAAAAAGAGAGTCAGACAGGACAATCCACTTTGCAGAGCCCCTTCTGTCTCTCTTAGACAGAAACTATCTTTCTCTCAATAAATTCCTCCTACTCTTAAAAAAAATTAAGTTATTTTTTAGCTTTAAAAATAGTGCTTGGATGAGCCAGCTGTCATTTTCAAAACTCTGGAATTTTATTAATCTCAACCAGGTTCTATTTTTAAATTTTTTCTTTGTCTTTTTTTGGTTAGGACATTCACAAAACTGCTATTTTATATAAAACTGTAACTGGCATAGAAATAAACCAGCTTTTCTAGAATTCTGAAGGGTCTTTTGTATTGTTTTATTGCTTGTATGAATGCAACATACACAGGCCTGTCTCAGTAAGTTCTGAAAAACAGAACTAACTTATAGTATTCAAAGGACTCAAAATGAAGGAAAAAAACCCTTCTACATCCAGAGTCTGGGATATGTGATCAATCTGTTTTTGTAGTCATTAGAATAAATGTAATATATCCCTTAAAAATCTTTTCAACCAGCGGAAGTAGAAATTGGGCTATGTGGGAGTTCTGTGGGCTGAACCCTGTGCTGACCCATTACACTGAAGCCTCTATGTCCAGTAACAGAATTCATCCGATTCCTGCACTGGGGATGGAACCCAGGGCCTTTGTACTGAGCTGCATCCATAGCTCTTTCTATATTTTTGAGACACTGCCTCCATAAGTAACTAAACTGCCCAGGCTGGGCTCCAACTTGAGATCTTCCTGTTTCAGCCTCTCAGTAATAAGAGTACACACATGCGCCACCATGCTCGGCTCAACCCCTTTTTAAAACCTGGTGAGCCTGCAGTTTGAGGACTCAATGCATAGAGAACTGCAATTTGTAGTTATTTTGAGCCAGCAATCACAGACGGAGTTTAAGCAGCTATAAAAAGGAAGCAGTGAACTGTGTTAAACTGTAGATGAAACAGGGAACTGAGAGGGTCAGCCCGAGGAATCACCACACCCAGGCTCCTCGGGAGGGCCGGACACGTCCTCACAGAGTCCGCGCCCCGCCTGGCCTCGAGCTCCTCCTCTGGAAGAGGGACTCGCTGGCTCCTCGGGTTGTCTTCCGCGTCACTGTGCGGGTCGGTCTCAGCTGAGAAAAGGCGACCGTCAACAGGACCTACAGAAAAGAACTCTGCCTCTGTTACGTGAGGCAACGTTTTTCAGGCACATTGTTGGGTGCCAGACAGTGCTGCGTCCCATCACTTACTTTCTACCTTAGTACAGTGCTTCAAAAAATAGTATTTTCATCCTTGCTTAAGAAGCAGGACTTGCAGGGGACCTGGAGGGTGAGCCCGGCCTAGGAGGCGCTGTGAAAAGCCGGCGGGGGCGGGGCCAGGA